TTTTTTGAGACAGGGTCTCACTCTGATGTGCAGGCTGGAGTGCAGTGGTGCCATCACAGCTCACTGCATCCTCGACTTCCCAGGCTCAGGTGATTCTCCTACCTCCCAACTAGCTGGGACTACAGGTGTGTGCCACCACACGTGGTTAATTTTTTATTTTTTGTAGAGATAGAGTTTTGCCATTTTGCTTAAATTGGTCTTGAACTCCTGGGCTCAAGTGATCCTCTCTCCTCAGCCTCCCAAGTGCTGGGATTACAGGTGTGAGCCACCATGTTTAGCCCCTTTATGAATTTTTATAGCAGTTTCACTATTTTCAAAGTGCTTTCACCTTCATTATCATATTTTGAGGCAGATATTATCTCCATTTCACACATGAGGAAACCAGAGAGGTTGTTTTGCCAAGTATTAGAATACAAGTAAGGAGAACTGGAGGGTTTAAAAGACAGTTTTGAGACACCTATGCAACTCTTCCTCTGCTATACTCTTCCCTCCCCCACTCTTTTGCCCCACTATTCTTCCCCAGTCTCTAGAAGTCATTGTATTGAACATCTGATGGATGTGTAATCCATCTGATCTCAGCCATGTCCCTGAGGAGGTTGGAAGCAGGCCCGTGTTGTTTCAGTCATCCATCAACTGCTCCTGGGAAGAACCTGTTTCCTCTAACAGCTGAACCCGTGTCTAGTCTAGTTGCTGGTTTTGGAGGATGCCAACTTGGGCCCTGGGTGCTGGTTCTGGTGTGCAATGTGCTGGGCACTCATCAAGCCCTCTAGTCAGCACTAAGGGTGACCTAGTCCAGTGGAAAGGGTCCTACATGTGCAGACAGAAGACTGGGTTTGAGTCCCTGCTCCATTATTGTTTGTGGGGTGAATTTGGTCAGGTCAGAACTTCTGAGAGCATCAGCCAGAGACGTAGATTTGAGCCCACCACATCCTTGGAGAGTTCCTTAACTTCTCCAGGCCAATGAATAAGCTCTAATTCTTAGGGTTGAACTGAGAATGATGTGGGATAAGGTATGTAAAGTCCTTAGCATGGAATGAGCACTCCACATGTAAAATGGAGTTATACCGTGGTGTGACTGGGTCAGTGAGCATCATGAGAATTCAAAGGTATCTAAAATCTCTGAGAGGTTTGATGATCACTGTCTCATTGTTTCCCATCGACCCAAGCCACCCTCAGTCCTTTTTGCCCTCTGCATGGGTTAGGGACAGTCCATTTCCAGCATGGACTCACATCTTCTGGGACTTTAAGATAAGGCAGTCTCATAGCCGGATGATCAGGTCAGTTTTCTGGACAAATTTATGGGTTAAGTCAAAAGTTTAGTTGTTTCTCTGGGTCTCTGGGAGCCCTGGGTTGAAAGAATAAAACTGTGTCTTGCTTTAAGAGTCTCTATCTGGCCAGATGCAGTGGCTCAAGCCTGTAATCCCAATACTTTGGAAGGCAGGAGGATCGCTTGAGCCCAGGAGTTTGAGACTAGCATGGGCAACATGTTGAGACCCTGTGTCAAAAAAAAAAAAATGGCTCTATCCTCTACTTTATTTTCATTGAGCTCTGGTGAAGCTACGTGAAGTCCATACTGCTGTCACCCTGTTTTCCAGATGGAGAACCTGAGACCAGAGGTGCAGGAGCTTCCTGTTGAGTTTAAGGCAGTCTGGCAGAATGAATATCCTAGTATCCTGGAACTGAGTTTGAGTCCTGGCTCAGCCACTGATTTGTTGTGACTATGGCAAGCTGCTGCTCCTGCTAGGCCTCAGGGATGCTATCTACTAACCAAAGCTATGCAGGAAGCATAGGCTGAATGTTTTTTTTTCCTTGCCAGGGGGAAGGACTTAAAAGAACAGCATGATCAAAAAGTGTGTGAGAGGGAGATGCAGCGAATCACCCTTCCTTTGTCTGCCTTCACCAACCCCACCTGTGAGATTGTGGATGAGAAGACTGTCGTGGTCCACACCAGCCAGACTCCACTTGACCCTCAGGAGGGCAGCACGCCCCTTATGGGCCAGGCAGGCACTCCTGGGGCCTGAGCCCCCTCAGTGGGCAGGAGCCCATGCAGACACTGGTGCAGGACAGCCCACTCTCCTACAGCTGGGAGGATCTACCACTTTGTGTTCTGGTTAAAACCCCACCATTCCCCCCCTTTTTTGGTGAATCCTAATAAGTGACAGAAGGAGGCAGCGCTGTGGGCTGAGGGTAAGGCTGGGTAGGGTCCTAGCAGTGCTCCTTCTCCATCCCTTGGAGCAGGATTTTGCCTGTGGATGGAGGCAGTGGCAGCTCCCGCAGTGGTGCTGCTAAGGGCTTCCAAACATTGCCTGTACCCCTGGAACTGAACCAGGGATAGACAGGGAGCTCCCCCAGGCTCCTCTGTGCTTTACTAAGATGGCCATAATCTCCACCATGGGCTTTAGTGGCATACACTGTTATTCATGGTTAAGGTAAAGCAGGTTAAGAGATGGCATCGAAAAAATATAGTTTTTAAAATATTTGGGATGGAACTCCATACTGACCTCTGAGAGCTGGAAATGAGTTTGTACAGAAGTCAGAACTTCAGGTTGAGAATGAGATCTAGGTTTTGGGCTGCTGGTATGCTCCAGCTTGCTGACAGTGATGTGCCTTGACAACCATGGGCGAGGCCTGGGCCCAGGGACTCTTCCTGTTTCATAAGGAAAGGAAGGGAAGAATTGCACTGAGCATTCCACTTAGGAAGAGGGCAGAGAAGGATCTGCTCCTACCATGGGCCACAGGAGCAGAGGCAGACCTGGGGTGCCCGTTTCTCTTCAGGGATGGACAGTGGTGACCTGTCTTCATTTTGCATAGGCAAGAGAGTAGTCAGCTAACCTATGGGAATTATATTGTGGGGACTTGTGAGCTGCTTCAAAGAGGTTAACCTGGAAACTAAGCTCAGAGGCAAGGTAATAAAGCACTTTCGGGATTGCTCCTGAAAATAGGCCTGATTTAGCAGGTGGTCCTGTGGGCCCCCAGGCCAGCACCTTCCTGTAGGGCAATGGGGCTAGGGTCACAGCCCCTAACTTATAAAGCAATCAACCATTAGAAAGGGTTCATTAAGCCTTTTGGACACAGGGCCCCAGAGAGGAAAAAGTGACTTGCCCAAGGTTGTAGAGCAAGCTATTGGCATGGCGAGGGCCCAGCTTCCTGAGTGCAACATTTCTCCACTGTACTGTGCTAGCAGCTCAGCAGGGCCTCTGAGCCCTGATGTCATACTCAGAGGCCTTGGCATGTCCTAGCCATAAAGCTTCCTTCCCAGAGCCCTTCCACTGCCCCAGGGGGAGAGGGAGGTTAGTGGGGCTTTCTGTGGAGCCATCTGCTTTGGGGATCTAGACCTCAGGGGGTCTCTTGGTATTAGTGATGCTGGAGAAGAGAATATTACTGGTTTCTACTTTTCTATAAAGGCATTTCTCTATATACATGTTTTATATACCTCATTCTGACACCTGTGTGGGAAAATACTCTGCATTTGACTTAATAAAAAAAAAAAAAAAAAAAAAAGACTCCATGTTGCCAAGTTTTTGAGGGGTAACAGGAACATGCCCTGTAGTTGAGATGCTTTGGGTTACCTTGTCAACACCTGTGTGGCAAGCTCTGGGCCTTTTCTTCATTCATCCTGGCCCTGTTACTGGAGGATGGCAACTGCAGCCTGTGTCCAGATTTATTTTTTATTTTTATTTTTTTGTGATGGGGTCTCACTCTTGTTGTCCAGGCTGGAGTGGAATGGCACTATCTCAGCTCACTGCAACCTCTACCTCCTGGGTTCAAGTGATTCTTCTGCTTCAGCCTTCCAAGTAGCTGGGAGTACAGGCATGTGCCACCACACCTGGCTAATTTTTATATTTTAGTAGAGATGGGCTTTTACCATGTTGGTCAGGCTGGTCTCAAACTCTTGACCTCAGGCGATCCACCCGCCATGGCCTCCCAAAGTGCTGAGATTACAGGCTTGAGCCACTGTACCTGGCTTCTGTGTCTGATTTATCATCATCAGGAATCTTTCAGATTGAAGCTGCAAGAGAGACAGGTGTGCAGGTGTCCCAATAAGGTGGTTGGTCATTTTCTCCCCTTCAGCAGGAGAGGAGGTAGTTAAAATGAATGTCCAGACAGCCATTGTCAAAGGTTGGAGTGCAGCAGGGGCGGGGATGGGTGATGGGGGTGGTGCTGCAGCAGCCAAAGGGGAATAAGTATAGAGGAGGAAGGGTCACTGGGCCGAGGAAGTTCCCTGCAAGGTGACTCCTATGGCTTCAGAATGAAAGACATCAGTAGGAGTGTTTCCTGGCCTATTAGCAAGGGATTTTAGCCACAGGTTCTCAGCCTCAGGAATACCCAGAAGACCTCTGCCCAGCCCAGACATTGCTCTGTGGTTCTGCCAGCAAAGTGTACTCCAGATCATTTTTTTCTAGAACCAGATCCTGTCCTAAAGTTGGATTCTTCAAGCTTTGAGAGTGCCTGGGAGAAATCACCTTCGGGTTTACAGATTTATATTGTGCCCAAGGTCCCACTAACCAGATAGCATTTTCCTTCCCAATGGTCACTTCTTCACAACATCCCGCATATGCAGAAGTAAGAAGAAACAGGTTTTCTCTCAGACATTTGTAGGGAAACACAAGGGGCGGGGTGACTTGCATTCACTTCTCTCCATTACAAAGGTGGCACCTAGCACTGAGGAAAGCAAGCCAGGATACCCAGGCTATAGAAGTACTCATATATTAGAGGATGAAAGGGTAGGGCTCCTAAGGAATGACTCAGCTGGCATGTGAGAGCCAGGCCAGGAAAAGGTCATAGTCAGTCACACCTGCTGCAATGAAGGGGCTGGTTCAGGTGGGATGTACATATTCCCTAGAGCAGATTGGTATCTACTTAAGGTAAGGGTTTTAGACTTGGGTGCATGAAAACCCTCTGCTATGGAGAGCTTGTGTGGGCTAGGCCAGAAGGTGGCTAGCAGACCCTCTACATTTATGTCCCTGAGCCAGTCATGTTTTCACTCTCCGTACTGCCAGTTATGTTAGCTGCTTAATTTATTTAGTCTGATCAATGGCCCAGTTTAGGCCCACCACTCCCATACTTGCTGGGGACGCTGGGACGCAACCAGCCACACAGTGCTAAACTGTGCTGCTGCTGAAGAGTCCAAGGCTCAGCCCTACAGCAAGCTTGCAAACTTCACATATAAGTACAGTCTACATAGCAAGTAAACTCCGGCCAGAGATGGTATCTGTTCCCACAACTCATCAGGTCTATGTACAATATTCACATACCACCCAAAAGATATAACAAGATAATATTAATAGCAACCACTCTCCTCTTATCAATTCCCCCTGCTCCAATACAACCACCACACATTGCGCTAATACCCCAAACCCATTCCCAATTTATTAAATATGGTGCAAGCTCACAGACACTTAGGAAGAGGCAAATCTAGTTGTGCTGAAAAGTTCCTAGAGCTCTGAGAGCCAAGATGGAGGGTAGCCCCAGGCTTTCCAGTACCTTCAGATGTGGCTCAGGAGGATGCTGCTAGGAGCTAATGAACTGGGAGAGCAAACAAGGGAGGTAGAAGTCATATGGCCCAGCTCAGGGAGCTGTCTCTCTCAGCATCTCAGCTTTAGGACTCTGCTACCATCTTTTTCTAGCCCAAGCTGTTGCCTAAACCAGGCATGTTGAAGGGTGAGCAATGGTTGCCACGAGGCCAAGACCAAGAGATTGCTGAGACTCCCACTCCCCTGCCCCAGACTCTAGGCCTGTGACAAGCCACACTATCCTCCAGAACCCATCTAGCTTTAGGCAAAATGTCTTAGGCATCTGACTGAGTAACAGAAACCAGAGTATGAGTAACAGAAACCAGGATCTGGGCTTTCTAGAGGGCAGGGCCTCTTTCTAGTCCCCCAACCTCTTCCTGTGCTTGTAAGTGACTGTTTTTTGCAGATGGAAAGGATGTTGTCCATAAGCTCTCAGCCAGTCTCCAGTAGTAAGTTTGAAAATGAGGTGGAGGCTTCCCCTCACATTGATGTGGTCTCTGGACTGGCTAGAGCCAGTGAGCAGGTGAACAGAAACCAGCCCTTTCTGTAACTCCTGGCCTGTTCCGTTACATATTAAGGGATTCTTCAAAACCTACTCCCTCAACCTTGCTCCAGGAAGGGCAGGATCTGGAGTGGAAGTAGGGAGCATCACTGTGTTTTTCACACCCTTCAAGGGCCTCCTGGCCACCAGTCTTTCTTTTGTCTACACTCCCACTTGAAGTCTTCCCACACCCATCTGGACTAGCAACTTCAGAGTTCACAGGCAGGTTCACCCTGGGATCCTGCCCAGCAGGTCCAGGCCACGCTGATTAGTGTAAGCAAGAGGCTCCCACAATCCACTCCCAGGGAGTTCCTGGGTGGATCTGAGTAACAGATTCCTCCTGGCTCAAAGGCCAGGTTTTTTGTTGTTCTTCACAGCTTTCAGGCAAGTATTGAATTTACAGACGGTGACCAGGCCTCAAAACCTGTGGAGACACATTTCCCTGGTGCTGTGCCCACTTGCCTCCTGGGGAGGTAGTAGGAATGGCTTGTTCTGCTTCTAAACAGGCCGCCAATCCACAGGAAGGCCGGATGGCACAGAGGGGCACAGAGGGGCAATGCTGGCTGTGGAACGCCCCCCTGCAGGGGGCTGGGCCAGGGCTAGGGGGGTGAGTCCCGGGTCAGGCCGTACTGCATGCTCACAGTGTGGTCCAACTCCTCCAGCTCTGCAGGCAGCGGGATGCCCAGCTCCCCCAGGTACAGGGAGAGGGCCTCAAAGGAGTCCTCCAGTTTCGAGAATGCTGGTCTAGAAGGAAAAGAGGTAAATCAGAGGCAGGTGCAATATGAGTAGGGCCATGGGGTGGATGGGAGGAATCTAGGCTCAGCTACTTCCTGGTTGTATGACCTCAGGCAAACTCCTTCACCTAGTAGTGCCTCTGTGAGAAATGGTCATAATATAATGTTACTGCTACCTCATATATTTGCTATAAAGATTAGATAACACCATGAGAAGGCTGGCCTAGCTGGAGTAAGTACTTAAACAAAAAAATAGGCGAAAAAGTTCCTTCCCATGTCTTAGAGAAAATGTAATTATCAAAGGTGGAACTGGAAACACCAAGCTCCTAGTGCCACGGAAATGGCTTGGCTGCCCTGGGAGCCTAAGACAGCTCAGGCCTACTCCTCTTCCTCCAAGTTTATGCATAAATGTCATGTTACCTCAGTGAGGTCTGCTCTGATGATCATATTTAAAGTTGCAACTTGTACCCTAAATAATCATCTTTACTTGGCTTCACTCTTTTTCCCATAGCATTTGCCACCTTCTAATATTCAATACAGTTTACTTATTGTATCTGCTGTATGATATAGTAGATACCATGCTAGAATATATGTTCTATGAGGGTAGGCACCTTTATTTTGTTCACTGCTATAACTGAAGAGCTTAGAACAGTACCTAGTACACAGTAGGCACTCAATACTGTGTGTGTGTGTATATATATATATATTTTTTAAAATAAATTAAAGATAGCTATTTAGAATGACTGGCAACGGGTTTTAGAAAACAAATAGTGTGTAGCTTCACAATTTCTCCTCAAGCTCATACATTGGTGTTACTGAAGGATTGCGGTCCTTGGCCTATAAAGGAACAAGGTATAGATTCTCCAACCAGAAAATTTCAACTCCACTGTGGACTACCGGAAATCATTTTTAAATAAAGATTATGTGCCAACTGGTTATCCTGGGAGGGTGGAGTTAGGGGTGAGGAGAATGTTGAGGAATATATTGATTAAGGGAGATAATAGGAGACATATTTCCTATGCTATATACCTTGGTAATGTTTGAACTTGTTTTTAAAAATCATTAAAAGTGATTTTTGATGGCAGGAAAAAAACCCACAAAGATTCTAGTTTTGTTTTTTTTTTTTGAGACAGAGTTTCGCTCCTTTTACCCAGGCTGGAGTGCAATGGCGCGATCTCGTCTCACTGCAACCTCCGCCTCCTGGGTTCAGGCAATTCTCCTGCCTCAGCCTCCTGAGGAGCTGGGATTACAGGCACACGCCACCATGCCCAGCTAATTTTTTGTATTTTTAGTAGAGATGGGGTTTCACCATGTTGACCAGGATGGTCTCGATCTCTTGACCTCGTGATCCACCCGCCTTGGCCTCCCAAAGTGCTGGGATTACAGGCTTGAGCCACTGCGCCCGGCCAGATTCTAGTTTTTTGACCAGAAACTTGAAAAGACCTAGGGTAACTCTGGTAATAATGAAATTATCACCTGAGAAGAATAATTTTTTTTTCTCATATGCAAGATACATTCAGAATAAAGGTGATTTTGAAAATATTTCTTTAAAGGAGAAATTAGCTAAATGCATAAAACTGCTCACTGTAGTTAACACCTGTTATAAAAGAGAAACTGGAAAAACCTGAATATCTACATTATAATATGTTCAGTCTCTCAATAGAATTTCATGTTGTCAACAAAAATGATAAACAGAAAGACTGGGTAGTAACAAGGGAAATGCAGGGCAAAATACAGAACTAGTGACTATTAAAAAAAAGTATATGTATAGATATGGACAGGAATATGGAAAGATGAATACACTTATTGTGAGCAAATGGTTTGGGTGAATTTTCTGTTTTTAAACTTTTTTATTGTTTTGAGATGGAGTGTTGCTTTGTTACCAGGCTGGAGTGCAGTGGCACAATCTTGGCTAACTGCAACCTCCACCTCCTGGGTTCAAGTGATTCCCCTGCCTCAGCCTCCCGTAGCTGGGATTACATGTGCACACCACCATGCCTGGCTAATTTTTTTGTATTTTAGTAGAGTCAGGGTTTCACCATGCTGGCCAGGATGGTCTTGATCTCCTAGCCTCATGAGCCACTCACCTTGGCCTCCCAAAGTGCTGGAATAACAGGTGTGAGCCACCGCGCTCTGGCCTAAACTTCCTTTTAATGGCTGTGGCTCTGTATCCTATCCAGCTTACTTGATGCTACGTCTTTACTTCTCTCTCCTCCAACCCATACATACAAGTTGTCAGGTGGCTTCAGGGGTTGACAGCCACATTCTTGACCTCCAGGCTTCTCTCACCCCTGTGCTTGGGAAGGGCTCAGGGATAGCCTAAGGCTGAGGCAAACATCCCAGGACCCTGTAAGCTGGGAGAAAGAGGCAGGATACCAACCTGCTCTCAGGCTCTAGTCTGCAGCAGATGGCGGCCAGCGGGAAGAAGGCTGGGGGACAATCTGTGGGAACAAACTTCTCCCAGAAAAGCTTCACATTGAGGCCAAAGTCCAGTGTTCGGGGAAGGCAGTCAGGATCTGCATATACCTGTCCAATAATCTGTAGGGTGAGAAGACAGCTGTTTACGAAGGACAACAGAGGCCACAGATACATGGCAAGGGAAAAGGATGCTGGTATGTGGACAGGAAGAATGGGCAGAAGAGGGGGTGGCACAAACATAGGTTAGAGAGCTCTCCCCATCCCCAGTCATCTCTCCAAATTTTGCTAATCCAGACCTGTCTTGACTGAGAGGTTACTGAAGAGGACTGAGAAGGGACCTCACTACAGAAGCCAAGTGTCCCAAATTGGCATCTGGAGGCTAGCAGCTTCCACTCATCCCACCCTGCCCTGCCTGTGTCTCCTTGTGGCTGTGTGTCTGCCAGAGTTAAGGCTCTGTGAGGTGCTGAGTCTGATTCATGTCTGAAACCCTTTGGCACCAGCCTAGTGCTTTGTACACAGGTGTTCAATTAACATCTATTAAAGAAAACAATTTTTAAAAAACCTTTCTTCACGGCCAGGTTGTGGCTCATGCCTGTAATCCCAGCACTTTGGCAGGCTGAGGTGGGTGGATCACCTGAGGTCAGGAATTGGAGACCAGCCTGGCCAACATGGCAAAACCCCATCTCTACTACAAATACAAAAATTAGCTGGGCATGGTGGTGTGCATCTATAGTCCTAGCTACTTGGGAGGCTGAGACAGGAGAACTGCTTCAGCCAGGGAGGTGGAGGTTGCAGTGAGCTAAGATGGCACCACTACACTCCAGCCTGGGTGACAGAGTGAGACTCCATCTCAAAAAAAAAAAACAAACTTCCTTCATTATTCTAACCATTCCTTGTCTCTCCTCTCCTCTACCACTCACAACTTTGTAGGGATTACAGAAGGCTTTGAATGTGTGTATGTTTGAGTCTTTGAGATATAATGAACTATGCTGTCACCTGACTAAGCTCCTAAAGGAGCTTTCCAAGATTCCTCACTCTGTCCACGTGGAACCTAGCACAAGGCTGGTACTTCCTAGAGTGGCTACTTCTACGGAACTGAGGAGGGCTACATCTGGCCCAAGAGCTAGACAGTCACATGAACAGTTTCTTGCCTTTCCTGCTGTAATTCTGAGTCTCACCTGCCCCTTATTGACCATGTGTAAGCCACTGCCCTCTTCTGAGCCTCAGTTTCCTCAACTGAAAAAAAACCTGGCTGGGTGTGGTGGCTCACATCCGTAATTCCAACACTTTGGGAGGTCGAGGTGGGTGGATTACCTGAGGTCAGGAGTTCAAGACCAGCCTGGCCAACATGGTGAAAGCCCGTCTCTACTAAAAATACAAAAATTAGCTGGGCATGGTAGTGTATGCCTATAATCCCAGCTACTTAGGAGGCTGAGGCAGGAGAATCACTTAAACCCAGAAGGTGGAGGCTGCAGTAAGCCCAGATCGTGCCACTGCACTCTAGCTTAGGCAACGAAGCGAGACACCATCTTAAAAACAAACAAACAAAACCTGCTGAGTCCTTCTCTTAGGACCCGTGAAACACAAATGTGGCAAAGATGTGCAGATGCATTATAAACCATAAAACCCTATACCCATGTTGATTTTAGGAGAAGCCCAGTTCTGAGGGAGGGCAGAGCTGCTAGGCCTGCTGCCTCAGGCATGGCCTTGGTGCCAAAGCTCACCTCGCAGAGAACGATCCCAAAGGAGAAGATATCCACCGTCTCATCATAGCTCTTTCCTTGGGGAACACAGGAGAGCAGGCTGTTAAGTTTACATCTCTTACCTGCTCTGCACTGGGTCTAGGGTCAATCTAAGTTACAGCCAAGAACCAGGGCTAGAACAGTTTCTGTAGGGATGCCCCACAGGCTGTCCTGGGCAGACACCACCTGAAAATAGTCCTTCCTCAGCCCTAGGTAACCTGCCTTGGAGAGCCCTTATAACATAACACTGCCTGGGATGAAACTGCATGGTTAAGTGGAAAAGAACCAGACTAGGGTTCATCCAGGCTCTGCCATTAGCCAGCTGTGTGCTCCTAAGGCAATCCACTGAACTTCTATGGGGCCTCAGACTCCAAAACGGGTTGTATCAGACTATTTCTGCCTCACAACCCTCATTTCAAGAATCTCAACCAGCATCTCTGGTTGGTTTGAGCATTATCCACCAGAGGGCACCACACTTCAGTTCTCAGCATGGAGAGAGAAGGCTAGAGCTGGGACAATAGCCTGCCTGAGCTCTCAGCCACCCATGAGGCACAAATGCTACAGTCAGACCTCACTCTATCCCCAGGATGGGACACTGATCAGTTCCCAGCCCCCTGAGCTCAGGGAGCTAATTTGTTAAGGCCCCTCCTGGCAAGGGAAAAATATCCTCAGCTCTAGATATCTGATCCTACACTTCACAGGCCTCCCCTAGAGTTCCCAGGGCTCTGATTCAAGGACACCCTCTGTCCTCTGTAGTGTCTGCTCTAGAGCTTCAGGACTCACCATTCAGCATCTCAGGAGCCATCCAGTAGGGGTTTCCCACCACTGTGTAGCGCTTCTTGCGGTCATTCTTGCGCAAGGTGCGTTTCTTGGTGGTGGCCTTTTCCACAGAGGGCCTTTTCCTCTCTTCCACTATGAGCCGTGACAGCCCAAAGTCTGCCACCACCACGGTCTTGTCCTGCTAGGATAAAGGCCAGGTCAGGACTTCATGGGGATGTTCTCAAACCTGGCTGTGGGGAGGAGGCATAGGCATGAGAAGCCACTGAGAAGGGGAGAAGAGGTGCATAGCAAGGGAGAATTAGAGCAGAAAGCTCTATCAAATAAACACACTCAGGCTGGGTGTGTTGGCTTACGCCTGTAATCCCAGCACTTTGGGAGGCCGAGGAGGGTGAATCAACTGAAGTCAGGAGTTCGAGACCAGCCTGGCCAACATGGTCAAACCCTGTCTACTAAAAATATAACAACAACAAAAAAAAGTTATAAGAAAACACTGAACATCTGTTAATTAAAAAAAAGAAAAAGAAAAAAGACAAAAATACACACACACACAAAATTAGCTGGGTGTGGTGGCACACACCTGTAGTCCCAGCTACTTGGGAGGCTGAGGCAGAATAATCAGTAGAACCTGGGAGGTGGAGGTTGTAGTAAGTCAAGATCCCGCCTCTGCACTCCAGCCTGGGCAAGAGAGAGAATCCATCTCAAAAAAAAAAAAAAAAGACACAGTGGGCATTTGTGTTTCTGAGGGTCTGGTATCCATGCACAGTAGATTCCCCAGCCCACAGGGAGTTTCATGGCAGAGCAACTGGAGTCCTGGAGGTGAGGCTCAGGGACTTGGAGAGTGGAACTCAGAGGTGGGACAGGGGGTTGCTTTTGTTTTTCCTCGTCCTGCCTTATTCCTAAAAAGATTAAGGCAGTAGCTAGAAAGAGGATAAGACAAAAAAAGGCAAGATGGAGGCAGTAGGTGGGAGACTTAGGGGAAACAAGCTCTTTGAATAGCTACAGGGCAGTCATGTGGGAAAGGAATGAAGATTGCTTGGTGTGGGTCTAAAGGGCAGAGCCAGGGCCAGCTGGTAGACACCCAGGAAGCCAGATAGCAAGTCAACGAGATAAACAATATTGTAACCACCACAGATGAGGGGCAGTGGGAAGAATGCTGGTCTCAAACTGGTCCCTGTAAATTCATTAGCTCTGTGGCCTCAGGCTGAGGCTTCAGGTGCCACCACTGTAAAATGGGGTCAGCAATGAGCTGCTTTACAAGATTATATTGGGGCAAAAGCAGGTAAAACGACAGGGCTCTACACATAGCCAAGAAATTTCTGAAGTCGCTTCTAACAAATTATTTCAAAGGTTGCTAATGAGAGAAGGTGAAATTAGTCTGTGTGTGTATAGGAGCTCCCAGAAGACAGAGAAGGTCATTGGAAGAAGCAGGAAGGGAAAGACAGGAGCTCCGAGACAACACCTCTGCCCTTCTAGCCAGAGGCAGCAAGTCAGCCTCCTTTGTGACAAGGAAGCCAGGAAGGATAAGACCCTGGCAGCCAGGCCTAGAGCAGTGGGACATACCAACTTGATGAGGCAGTTGTGTGAGTTCAAATCCCGGTGGATGATGCACATAGAGTGCAAATAGGCCTGGAACAAAAGCATAAGCTGAGGCTAATGGGCCAGCAAATCAACTAGACACTGATTCTGGAACTGGGGGCCACAGACTCCTCCCAGGCCATGTCCACCCAGCTTCAGAACCCAACCTGGACAACAGGGCAGGCCCTCCTGTGGTCACTCCCTTGTCCCCAAACCAACAGGAAGCCTGGGCTTCCTCTCCCTCCCTGCTGCCATCTCCTGCCCATCCTTGTTCACCAATCACCAGCACAGTGGTTGGCCAAAGCCCTCACTGCTCTCTCCTAATGTCCCCAACTTCACAGAACCCTGGCCTTTGTAGCATTTCCTCCACCTCTATCCATTTTACTTAGATCCAGGCTGCTCTCTCCTCCCTACTCTCCCAGTCTCTGGCTTCAGCCACTCTGGATCCTTCCTGCCTGCAACAGAGAAGTGACTTCTTCTTGCTCCAGCTAGCTATGTCTGACATTCACCTCCCCTAAGACTCCACTATCTTAAGCTTTAAGCTTTCTCTTCCTACCCAAATGTTTGTAAACAAATTTCTGTTTATGTCCCCTCTCCAGGCCTCCACGACTGGCTCTTGACACTCTGAAGAGCAACTTCCTTTCTCCTTCCCTTCCCTTGTAAATGTAGAAGGAGCTACTCTCTGCTCTCCAGCCCCCTGCAATACTGCTTCCATCCCTTAGGTTTCTGGAGCTGCTCACACACCCAGGGAGCTGAATTGCTATAGTTCATGACTTGCATGCCTGCCTGAGGATGTGCTCCTCAAAGACTGTCCACACCTTTCTTATGCTACCTGCTCCTGAGACTCTTGTGTGTGTGTTTTTTCCTTCCAGTCTTTTCAGTGTCAGCCCTGCTCAAAGCCATCTCCACTTCACAAGCTGAGACACCCCCTGCCCCCGACCAGCCACATGGATGGATGCCTCTTCTATCCCAGAGCTCCAGCTACCCCTTCTCTAAAGATTAGGTGACTGGCAGCCTCTCTCTAAGCTCTAGTCTTATGGAGCCAGTTTCTTGCCTAGAAGATGTTGATAGGTTCTGCTAGAAGAATAGAAGGCATCAATGCTGGCTCTTCCCAAACCGGTTCCACAACCATCCCTGCTATCCCCCATCCCCCAAACGTCTGGTAAGTGATACCTCAAGCCGCTCTAACTCCTCCTCCTCCTCCTGTTCCCTCATTGCCAAACAGTCTCTCCATTCTGACTCCACCCTGCCTCACCAGTCTCTCCATTCTAACTCCATCCTGCCCCAGGCTCCGGTCCCCACAGCTACTACTGTAATTCAGAAATCTGAAATGTTTCATTAGCCCTCTATGCAGGTCTTCATGGCCTGAGACCCTCCCCATTCCACCCGAATCTACTAACCATATCAGACTAATATATATATATTTTTTGAGATGAAGTCTCTCTCCGTCACCAGATTTGAGTGCAGTAGTGTGATCTTGGCTCACTGCAACTTCCGCCGCCCAGGTTCAAGTGATACTCCTGCCTCAGCCTCCTGAGTAGCTAAGACTACAGGCATGTACCACCGGCCCAGCTAATTTTTTTTTTTTTGAGACAAGTCTTGATCTGTCACCAGGCTGGAGTGCAGTGGCGCAATCTCAGCTCACTGCAACCTCTGCCTCCTGGGTTCAAGCAATTCCCCTGCCCTGGCCTCCCGAGTAGCTGGGACTACAGGCACGTGCCACCACGCCAGCTAATTTTTTGTATTTTAGTAGAGATGGGGTTTAACAAGTTGGCCAGGAGGGTCTCAATCTCCTGACCTTGTGATCCACCCGCCTCGGCCTCCCAAAGTGCTGGGATTACAGGCATGAGTCACTATGCCCGCCTTGTATTTTTTTTTTAGTAGAGACAGGGTTTCACCATGTTGGCCAGGCTGGTCTCAAACTCCTGACCTCAAGTTATCTACTCGCCTCAGCCTCCCAAAAAAGTGCTGGTATTACAGGCGTGAGCCACCATACTTGCCCAGATTCATTTTGGAAAAAGCACAGCTCTTAAACTTTCTTGCTTAAAAATCTTTTCCTGCCAGGCACGGTGGCTCATACCTATAATCCCAACACTCTGGGAGGCTGAGGAAGGAGGAATGCTTGAGCCCAGCCTGGGCAACAAAATGAGAACCTGTCTCTACAAAAAATAAAAATTAAAAAATTAGGTGTGGTGGTACACACCTGCAGTCCCAGCTACTCGGGAGGCTAAGGCAGGAGGACTGCTTGAGCCCTGGAGGTTGAGGCTGTAGTGAGCCATGATCATGCCACTGAACTCCAGCCTGCATGGCAGAGCAAGATCCTGTTTCAAAACAACAACAACAAAAACCCTTCCTGATTCAAGCCCCAGAAACAGGGAAAAATAAAAATAAAAACCAAAACCAATCAACCAGAAAACTCTTTTACATCTGTCTCCTAAATATATTCCAGACTCCTTAATTTAAAACACAGGGACCTTAATGTACCCCCAAACTGTTCAGACTACTACTATCTTCATGGACCCCCATGAGAAGGGCAGTGGTTAAAGTCTCAGGCTTGGCGATCAGACTGATTAACCCAATCCCAGCTCTGTCCCTTTCCAGCCCAGCTTCTTATCTGGAAACCAAGGTTGTCATGAGGACTAAACATGCACCTGCATATTAATTCCTCAGCTTAGTGCCTAGCATATAGAGAGCACTCAGTACGTGTCAGCTGTTGTTATTGCTATGATTGGAATCATTTGTTTCCAGGTAAAATAGATGATTTTCTCTTCTTTCCTCCCAGGTCTTTGCTCCTGTCGCTTCAATCTTGGAACCTCTCTGCCAATAGGAACTTTTTATCCAATTCTGACCCTTCAGGGCTCTGCTAGAACTCATTTCTCCTTCACTGATTTCCTATGCAGTGAGGTGCTCTACTTGGTTCAAGGGCCCTTAGCATCTGGACACCTTGAACAGCAAGGCCAGGCCATCTCAGGCTACAATTTGCCTCTCTAGTTTGCCTTGTCCACGCTGTTTGCCCTTAGAGATGTGTAATTCTTTGAGAATAGGGCTGTGAGCTAAGAACAGTTGGCTAGAGGTAGTTTCAGTGGCACAGACAAACACAACGAATAGCTGCTGACCCACCCCACACAAGATGCACAGGAAGGGGTCTCTACCTTCTAGTGAAGCCCACAATTCTTGCACCTCTCCCTACTCTTGCCCTGCTGGCAGGTTTGTTGGTGGGACTCACCATTCCCGAGGCGATTCCTTTGGCAAATCTGACCTTCTGCTGCCAGGGGAACGGATCCTGCAGGATAGGGGAATGACTGTTGGAGGTTGTTAAGCCCTGTCCCACTCGTGGTCCAGACCCACGAGTCAATATGGTCTCCCAGTGAAGCCTCCCTGTCTGTGCCTAGACCCGCCCAGCATGGTCTTTGGGGGCAAAGCAGGGCTCCTCTGGCCTTTAAACTCCCAGGGTAATGGTAGTAGAAGTGTCCGACAACCCACCAAGGCTCCTGGAGACTATGGGGTGTTGTGCTCACCATTCCTCGCAGGAAATCCTTCAGTGTGCCCCCCTCAATGTACTCTGTCAGCAGGTTTAGCTTCTTATCCTTGTACAGCACACCAATGAACTTGAGCACATTGGGGTGGTCCAGGCTGCGCATCACTTTCACCTGGTGGTGGGGGAAGCCAAGGAAAGCTGGTGGTTAACATCTTACTATGTCTTCCTTATGCCTTCCCTCCAGGGAATGAGCTTGACAAGTGTTACCACCTGCATCTCCTACTGCCTACCTTGTGATATGGCACAGGACTAAGATCAAGATGAGGGAAGAACCCCATCATATGGACGGAGATGGCTTCGCAGGCCTCACCCTTGGCATCCTCCCTTTCTAGGAACTTCACTGGGGGAACAGTGGTGGGAGTGGCCAAGTGCCTCGGAGGGCAGTACTTGGACCACAGGTGTCGCCAACTGAAGTTGCTCCATGAAGTAACTTGGGAGAGGTGGTGAAAACTGTAAACGCTTAAGGAATTGAGTGCTCAGGGAACTCCCCTCCAGGTTCCCTTAGCAGGGTGTTCAGGTAAGGATTGTAACAGAGCTGTACTAAATTGGTCTGTTTTCATGTCCATCACCCTCATAATCTGAGAGCTCCTCTGAAACATGTATCTTTTGTTATTGCATCCCTTGTACCCAGTTTGTGCTGCCTTTAGTAAGTGTTCGTTGAACAAATAATTATGCTGTAATTTAGAGGGAGTGGGGATATTCCTTTAGTGCTCTTTTTTGCTTAGTCTTTAAGTCAGTGATCCAAACTATATTTCCTCTTGAAGCCATTATTTGTAAGGTCTTCCCTCTTCCAATGGTGACACCAAACTCCTAGTCCCCCTCCATCTTCTTACCTCAGTCAGAAAAGTCTTCTGGGTCTCCTCATCACATCGAATTAACTCCTTCATGACCATCACTTTGCCTGTGGCTTTGTGTGTCACCTATAGGGAGGGTAACTATTAATGGTGCTGAGACCAGAGGCAGTTCTGGAAAACTGTTGGAGAAAATCTATGCAACTGGCCATCCCACCCTTTGAAAGGTATACTGAGCCAAGTCAGACTGACAGAGTTAATGTGTGGAAGATGCAGCGTGAAGCAACAGGGGATTCAGACAGAAGCATATCCTCTTTCCTTGAGAGCTGGGCATGCATGGAGGATAGGCAAAAACCCAGAAAAGCGAAATGGGGAAGGAGGCAGGAGGGGACACTGCCAAGCCAAGCAGGGGCTCTGGTCATTTGGCACCGGAGTGAGTCTCTTGAGTGAACAGAGAAGTCTGGGGGCAGAAAAGTCAGTGCCAAAGACATGCACCAGGGAGTTGGGTGGGTCAGGGGTAAACTTTCCAGCCCCGCTGCCCCCACAAGCTGAGACACATGGCTTACCTGACCCCCCCTCCCAGTTCTCAGCAGAGGAGGAGGAGGAGAGAAAGAGAGAGATTAGTCCCCAAGACTGTTTCCCAGGGAGGCAGAAGCCCCTGTGTGTTCCTTGTAGCATGCCCGGTACTAAGGCCTGGGGGCACCTAACAAACACCCACTGACTGGTGGCAGGAGGACCACAAGCACAGCTCAACCCAAGCTGGATCTCCAGGTCCACAAGCTCATTGTAACAGCAACACTGACCTTAGGTGGCCTGGGTGGGTGCAAAGGATACCTTTCATACTATCACCCAAAGCCAGGAAGGGGGCCTGATGTCCTGCAGGGTATGGGGTGGGGCCAAGTGATAAGAAATCCCCGAAAGACAGTGAAAGAGGGGGGCTGAGGGCATAAAAACAAAGCAATTACTGCCTGTGCTCACCTTTATAGCTTGCCCAAAGAAGCCCTTCCCCAGGACCTCCCCGTGGATTAGGTCACAGGGCCGGAAGATCTGCTGTGAATAGCTGCTGGAACAACGAAGGGATTCTGAGCGGCTGATGTCACGGCTGAATAGCAGGGGCTCCTTTGGGGAGCTGGGGCCAGGGGACTTGGAGATGCTGTTACTGCGCCTAAAGATGGGGAAAGATGGGAATAGGGATACACAGTCCTCAGAGACCACCAAAAAACCCTAGAGGAAGGAACCTAGGGGCACCTGTCCATTCCAATGTCTATAGTTTAGATGCTATTATTGGGGAACAGGGGCTCTTACATCAGATGTGCCATTATGGGGTTGCAGACATCACTCATTTATTTAAGCATAGTAAAAACACATTCAAAATGGGAACTCTGCATACATCACACACAAAACAATTAACTAGATTCTACTAGCTTATAATGCTCAGTATATGACATACATGACAACATTATAGATGGTAATTCACCATCTCCCATATCTGCTTGACTTAAGGTACTAACTGGTTTAGAATGATAGTTATACTAGTATCCAAAAAATGAGCAAATGGGATTTTTTTTTTTTTTTTTTTAGACAGTCTCACTCTGTCAGCCAGGCTGGAGTGCAGTGGTGTGATCTTGACTCACTGCAACCTCTGTCTCCTGGTTCAAGCGATTTGTCTCCTGGTTCAAGCGATTCTTGTGCCTGAGCCTTCTGAGTAGCTGGGACTAGAGGCATGTGCCACCATGACCAGCTAATTATTTTTTTTTTTTTTGGTTGAGACGGAGTCTCCTTCTGTTGCCCACACTAGAGTGTAATGATATGATCTCAGCTCACTGCAACCTCCACCTCCCAGGTTCAAGTGATTCTCCTGACTCAGCCTCCTGAGTAGCAAGGACTATAGGCGCGCGTGCTACCATACCTGGCTAATTTTTGTATTTTTAGTAGAGATGGGGTTTCACCATATTGGCCAGGCTAGTCTCGAACTCCTGACCTCAGGTGATCCACCCACCTTGGCCTCCCAAAGTGCTGGGATTACAGGCATGAGTCACTGTGCCCAGACTAATTATTGTATATTTTTAGTAGAAATAGGGTTTCACCATGTTGGCCAGGCTAGTCTCGAACTCCTGACCTCAGGTGATCCACCCACCTTGGCCTCCCAAAGTGCTGGGATTACAGGCATGAGTCACTGTGCCCAGACTAATTATTGTATATTTTTAGTAGAGATGGGGTTTCACCATGTTGGCCAGGCTAGTCTCAAACTCCTGACCTCAAGTAATCTACCTGCCTCTGTCTCCCAAAGTGCTGGGATTATAGGCGCGAGCCACCATGCCTGGCCAGCAAATGGGATTTTGGATGATATTTTTGCACATCTTTGTACCTGTCCATATCTCCTGAATTTTAAGATGATAAGCATATATGATTTTTATAGCAATAAAGCCACTATGTTTATATTTTCAAAAGGCAGTCCATTATAGTCATGGTCAATGACTGTTATTTTGACTTAGTGAAGAAGGGACAAGAAGGTTGAAGTCCACAGCACTGCAGGTAAACAGCCCCGCGAACTTTCTCTCTGGTGTATGGTCTGCTACTGTTTTACTTGGGCTACCCAGAGAGGACTGCAGCTGGATGGCTCCTGGCTTGTCCTGTCCTACAGGTTTACTTACCCTTGTTCTTTTGCTCTGCCTTCTGCTGACCACGCCCACAAGGGCACACAAGTTTAGCTGGCCGCCTCCTCTGCATGGTGGCTCTACAGATATCTGGCCACCCCGAAATCTTCCCTTTTCCAGGCCATGGATTTCCAGCCCTTCTCTGCCCTCTGGTGCCCTGCCTCCCACTAATTTTATCATACTGACTAAGAGCAAGAGGCAGCAGGAATGAGGGGAGCAATTTGAGCAGTGGCACTGTTTCCAACACATGCCAGCTGAGAGGGCCCCAACTTACTTACTCAGTTTGTTTGGTGAGGAAGGTGGATAAAAAAATCATTTTTAAAATTTTTTATTTAGCGAAAAGGTCTCATTCTGCTGCCCAAGCTGTAGTACAGTGGTGTGGTCAAGGCTCATTGCAGTCTTAAACTCCTGGGCTCAAGCAATCCTCCTGCCTCAGCCTCAAGTAGCTGGGATTACAGGCATGAGCTAGCATGCCCAGTTAACTTTTTTATTCTTTGTAGAGACAGGAATGTTGCCCAGGCTGCTCCTGAACTCCTAGCCTCAAGAAATCCTCTGGCCTTGGCCTCCAAAAGTGCTGGGATTATTAAAAAAACTTTTTTTTAACCAGCTAATGAAAAAAAATTTTTTTGGCCGGGCGCGGTGGCTCAAGCCTGTAATCCCAGCACTTTGGAAGGCCGAGATGGGTGGATCACGAGGTCAAGAGATCGTTGACCATTCTGGTCAACATAGTGAAACCCCGTCTCTATTAAAAATACAAAAAATTAGCTGGGCATGGTGGCGCGTGCCTGTAATCCCAGCTACTCAGGAGGCTGAGGCAGGAGAATTGCCTGAACCCAGGAGGCGGAGGTTGTGGTAAGCCGAGATCGCGCCATTGCACTCCGGCCTGGGTAACAAGAGCGAAACTCTGTCTCAAAAAAAAAAAAAAAAAAAATTTTTTTTTTGTAGAGACACTATCTCACCATGTTGCCCAGGCTAGTCTCAAACTCCTGCACTCAAGCCATCCTCCTACCTAGGCCTCCCAAGTATAGGGATTATAGGCATGAGCCACTGTACCTGGCCAAGAACCTGATTCTTAGTGATACAAAGAATGTGTCATGTTTACTGAACGCTGTCCCTATGGCAGCACTATACAACTTTATGTCCTTTTCCACATTTAATCCTAACATAATTGGTGAGACAACCACCTGTCTTACCAACACTTCACAGACGCAGAAACAGGCTCAGAGAGATGAAGTGTTATGCGAAGGGAGGAGCTCAGCCTGAAGCCCCAGTAGGGTATCAGTATTTCTGCCTGGGAGCCAATGCTCTTGACTTTGTGTAAGTCTCCCTACTTGGGGCTTCCACTCAAGGCAACTACTCCTTCCCACCCATGGACCTGGCAGAATCTGGGGTTTGGGCTTATTGGTCCCTCAAGTCTAAAAAACTTTCATTCATCGTTTGCTTTATTGTTTTCAAAGTCCATCTGTACAATTTTTTTCAACCCTATTTGTGCCCCTAACTCCAGGCTCTGAGCTCCATGTCTCCTCCACAGGCCATGCTGCCCTTCAGGGTATAGTATCACTGCCTCCTGTCCAGCTTAGGAGTTCAGTGGACAGAGCCTGACCCTCCAGTTTCTAAGGAAACCTGGCAGACAGCTGGGTACGCACAGGCTCTGGCTATGAACTGTGATCCCCATAGGGGCAGCTGGGTCAGCACAATCCTCATAGTCTGTCCCTGGCCAGCTGGTGCCTTGCCTAACTTTGCAGGCTTCTGAAAGCCAGCTCAGCTTCATCTGAGAGACAGACATGGGACAGAAAAGAGCCAGAAAAGAGTCAGAGTGGGAGGTGGCACCTCAGGGAGCGTCTCCTCAGTGTCCCCTCCAGATTCTCCTTGGTGTCCAGCGTGCTGAGGGTGTGGGGGTGTTCAGCATTCTGCATGTGAGGAGAGAGCCGGGCCTCCAGCCGCAGCTGATCCAGGCGCTGGGAGACAGGGTCATGTTCAATCAGCAGCTGAAGTGTCTGGCTCGTCTGGCTAACTGCATCCTCCACCTGTGACCAAGAGCAGTATAAGGCTCCCACAGGCTGCCCCATCCCAGGCCACCCATGGCCAACCCAGATGACTCAGGCACAGTGTGGCTAGTGCTCAACTTGGCCAATGGTGGCCTCTAGCTGCCAGTGGCCTCACAGTGCCCTCTGCCTGGCATCCTGTCAGCTCTCTCATTGGTCAACCATCCTGCTACCCTCAAAATAGGTCATCAGTGGTCACAGGCACAATGGCTAAGACAAAGAGATGGGCTGGGGGTAGGAAAACATAAAGGCTATAGCCTGATTTCCCAAAGGATCTGTTTCATGTCCCACCCTCACAAGACAGATTGGACACAGACTCTACCTCCTCCACTCGAAGTGTGCGGACAGGGATCCCATTGATCTCCAGAATACGGTCCCCAGGATGGATGGCATTGCGATTGTTGGGACTGATGTGCATCCGGTTGACCCTAGGCCAGACAAGAGTTGAGGCAGAGTAAAGATGTCCTAAAAACCTGCTTGACCAATTCTGCTTGTACAGGGAAGGTTTACCAGGTCCCAGGCCACCAGTGGCCCGTAAGAGGCCCAGGATACCCACACAGAAAAGCAACACCCTTTCCAGGATGCCCCATATCAGTGAAGGGCACTGCCACTCACCCTGTGGCCTAAGCCAGAAACCTGGACAACATCTTCCCATCTGGAGTTCCCTCATCACTCTCCTACTACAATCTTTAAGAACTCTGCCTTCTTTCCATCACTGTAGTTATTCATATCTCTTACCTGGATCACTGTAATAACTTCTTTTTAAAAAAAACAAAAAACAACTTTATTATTATTATTATTTGAGATGGAGTCTTACTGTGTCATCCAGGCTGGAGTGCAGTGGCACAATCTGGACTCACTGCAACCTTCAGCTCCCAGACTCAAGTAATTCTCATGCCTCAGTCTCCTGAGTAGCTGGGATTACAGGCATATGCTACCATGCCCCTTCTAATTTTTTGTAAAGATGGGGTTTCGCCATGTTGGCCAGGCTGGTCTCAAACTCCTGACCTCAAGCAGTTCATCTGCCTCGGCCTCCCAAAGTGCTGTGATTACAGGCATGAGCGACCATGTCTGGACTTTTCTTTCAATTTTAAAAAATAGAGACAGAGTCTTGCTGCATTGGCCAGATTGGGCCAGATTGGTCTTGAACTTCTGGCCTCAAGCAATCATCCCACTTCAGCCTCCCAAACTCCTAAGATTACAAGCATGAGTCACCACACTCAGCCTACAACAGCTTCCTAATTGTTCTCCATACCTCTAGGCTTTCCCCTCTCTACTCCAACCTCCATGCCAGTGATAATTCTAAAATGTTAACACTTGGTCACATCACCTTGCTGCTTAACTCTCAATGGATCTGCTGGATCTTCATAATCCAGGTCCTCTATGCTTAACAGCCCCTTTTTTGGTCACACCCAACCTACACCAGACATGATTAAGACTCTCACTTTTGGAGAAATGCTTCTCCCTCTGCCCTGAACACAATTCCCTCTCCTCTTCATCTAATGAGGTTGCAGAACAGACCTTAGCTCCTGACTTCCCAAATTCTAGTACCTTTCACCTACTGTGCAAGCACTAGCCTAGTATCCAAACATGGTAGATGCACAATCAATATTTACATGGTAAGTGGCCAGAGGTACGAAATTACTGGTATTAGAAAGACACAGACTCTTCCTCCATCTGGTCTCTGGTGTGAATCTAGGATAGCATCTTAACTTCTTTTGGGCCATGGAACACATTTTCTTTATTCATTCTCTCAACCATCAATATAATAATCAACTCCTACCATATGCCAAGTACTATTCTAAGCCCTGGGCATGCAGCACTGAACGAGACAAAGCAAGTTCCTCCTGGAATTTACATTCTAGTGGAGAAGACAGAAGATAAACAGCTACTACACATAATCAAGCCAGATAATTTTTTTTTTTTTGAGATGAAGTCTCGCTCCGTCACCCAGGCTGGAGTGCAGTGGTGTGATTTCGGCTCACTGCAACCTCTGCCTCCTGGGTTCAAGAGGTTCTCTTGCCTCAGCCTCCCGAGTAGCTGGGACTACAGGCGCATAACACCATGCCCAACTAATTTTTTGTATTTTTAGTAGAGATGGGGTTTCACTGTGTTAGCCAGGATGGTCTCAATCCCCTGACCTCATGATCCACCCGCCTCGGCCTCCCAAAGTGCTGGTATTACAGGCACTGTACCCGGCCTGAGCCAGATAATTTCAAAAAGCAAACATGATTTGAAACATGACACCTGAAAGGTGAGTGATTCTGGCCTTAAGTATCTGGTAGGAAGTAGCGTGGGCAGAGAAAACAGTAAGTGCCAAGGCCCAGGTGTGGTTACAGCATAGTGGGGTCCAGGAGAAAGATATGAGATGAGGATAAAGGGAGTTCTGCATAAGACTTTAGAGTTCTGACCCCTCTAAGGCCCATTTACAGACTCTGCTCAAGAATCCCTGCTGAAGAATTCTCAAAATACTTACTCTTTCACTTGCACGGTGGTGGCGTAGTTGGAACAGGCACTCTCCACGGACACAGAGAAGCCCCGCCTGCCCTCAGTGGTGGCCGGCATGGAGATGAGTGTGACAGAGTAGGGCAGCTGGTTCTGAACAGACTCTGTGGAGAGTCTCTCAAACATGGGTGCCAGCACCACCTCATTGTGGCATTTCCCACTGGGGAGAAGGAACAGAGGGAAGTAAGATGCTGGAGACCCACCTGGAAGCCCCCCAACAAACACTGCATCATGTGGCTTTATGTAACAGTACCCATTGTCTCACTATCACCCTCTCTGTCATGATTCTAGCTGGCTGCTCAGAATGAGGATCCTGGATTCTCAGGGTGGGCTGGGACAGGAGGTGCTGAGCTGGATCTGCAGCAAGTGGTATATTGGGAAGAACACTGGCCTGGGTTGGGGTGAAATGGCCTGGGTTCTCTTCATTCTGCCTTTGACTCACAATGAGAACCTTGTCCTGTACTCTTCTATGTCATGGGCCCCAGGCTGACTTCTTTTGCTAACTAAGGTGGTTGGACAGGGTGAGCTAAGGGGTCTTTGAATTTAATGTTCTGGGATCCTCCTTGGAGAGTGCCTCCTATTGGGAGGATTGCAGGGCAGAGTGAGAACATTTTCAAGATAGGTAAGAAAAAAGGGCAGAGTCATATGTAAATAATTCTGCTTTTAAGTTAAAGAGCTGGTTAAGAGCATTGTTGTGATAGGAATCCAATGTTCTGCCTATCCCAACAGTGTTTCTGCCAAACTCACCCTGCCACCATCCCTCCCCTAGGCCACTTGTACATGGGAGAGGATAGACACAGGGTCACCATCTTACCAGTAGAGGGTGGCATGCTGCACCAGTGCATATGCATCCCCATCCTCAATGATCACCTTGCAGCTCATACAGGCAAAGCACTCTGGGTGGTACTTGAACTCCCCCGCAACCTGTGAGCAGGTGGGGAGAAGGGTGTACAAAGGGAAGAAGGAAGTGAGTTATCACTGTTGCTGGAGTGAGGAGAGGGGTGGGTGAATGACCGCCAATCAAGGCCCCAGTCAAAATCTACTCTTTCACTCTCTGCCCTAGAGCTTCCAAAGGAAGTATCAGATTGGTGCCTCCTGTCATTTCTGAGATTGAACAAAACTGTTTTCATCTCAGTTATGAGAAGAAGTCCCCAGAAGTAATCATCCCCACTAAAAAAGATCATAGTTCCTCCAATAGAGGGTTGGCAAGTCTGTGACTATACTTAAAGCCCTTTGTCCAGAGCAGGTACAAGAAGGAGCACCTCTCTCTGCCAGCTCATTCCAGAGTCTCCTTTTCTGATTCCCTGAACACAACCTAGGCTTATCCTCTTCTCAGCCTGTAACACTCTCCTTTGAGGTCCTTATCCAACAATATTGTGTCTCCTCTCTGCCTGCCTCTCCTCCCACTCCCAACATTAAACTATTAAATCTTTGAGGGAAGGATCTTACCTTTCACTTAATAGGTGCTCAGTTGATACCTGCTGGTTGAATGAATGAATAAGTAAAGGGAGATGCCCTGGCTGATGGAAAGACCAAAAGATGAATGGCCACAGGGAACCGGAAGCACCGTCAATGGACTCTGATGATCAAGAGGGGCAAATAGGAAGGGATTCACTCACCATAAAAGGCCCTGTCATCAGCAGGGAGCACCCATGACAGAACTCCCCAAACTTCCCCCAGTAGTCCTTGCGACAGTAGAGCTTCCCATCCTTCTCGTAGTACCAGTTGGTGAGGGAATCCTGGCACTCTGAACACCTGAAAGGCAAGACAAGAACTAAAACTCTCCTGGATCCCTGGAATCAGGCCACATAGGCTGTCCCTGGATCCTAGGACTGACAACAAAATGGACAGTCTGATCTAAAGCCAAGATGGGGGAAGTTGCAGCCTCGTGATGTCTCCCCAAGGGAAGCTGGTTCAGAGTGAACAAGGCCCTAGAAACTAGCTCTGTGTTGCCTGCTTCAGTGGACAGACTAATGTTTCACAACCTCTTTGGGTCTTGGAGCCCTCTGAGAATTTGATAAAAGCCAAGAAGCCTCCCCTAGAAAAATGCACATATAAGGAAAATGTGTATATAATTTAGGTGTGAGGAGTGTGTATATCAAGGATTCTCTGGCCAGGTGCAGTGGCTTATGCCTATAATCCCAGCAGTTTGGGAGGCTGAGGCAGGTGGATCACGAGGTCAAGAGACTGAGGCCATCCTGGACAACGTGGTGCAACCTCGTCTCTGCTGAAAATACAAAAATTAGCTGGGTATGGTGGCATGTGCCTGTAGTCCTAGCTACTTAGGAGACTGAGGCAGGAGAATTCCCTGAATCTGGGCCGACATTGCGCCACTGTACTCCAGCCTGGTGACAGAGGAAGACACCATCTCAAAAAAAAAAAAAAAAAAAAAAAGGATTCTCTGAAACTTATTTATGGCCCCAGTTAAGGACCTCTGGGAGGCTGAGGTGGGAGGATCACTTGAGCCCAGGAGTTTGAGGTCAGCCTGGGAAACATAGTAAGACCCCATTTCTAAAAAAAAAAAAAAAAAAAATCCATGGCTCCTTTCTCCCCTAATCACCTGGTTATGAAGCTCTACCTCTCAGGTCAGGTGTGTTCTCAGGACTTACCTGCACAGACAACCTCCTCCTCCCTTCTGAGCTTCCCAACACATACAACTGAGAGTTCCCTGGCCTTCTGAGCCCAAGCCGTTTCTTTCCTTCTAGTTCCTTCTTTTCCCTATTTTTGTTGTGAAGGCCTTCCACACTGGCCACATCCTTGCTTCTGAGAGGTTTGAACATTGCTTGGTTTGAATCTTGATCCTGCCACTTACCAGTTATGTCACCCTGGGCAAGATATTTTACTTCTTTGGCCTAGTTTCTTCATCTATAAAATGAATTGATGTGAAAATTAAGGGAAATAGTATGTATTAAAAATATACAGAGCAACCAGGCACAGTGGCTCACAGTTATAATCCCAGTGCTTTGGGAGGCAGAGGCAGGTGAATCATGAGGTCAGGGGTTCAAGATCAGCTTGGCCAACACAGTGACACCCCATCTCTACTAAAAATACAAAAATTAGCTGGGCATGGTGGCACAGGCCCACCTACTCAGGAGTCTAAGGCAGGAGAATCAGGAGGCAGAGGTTGTGGTGAGCTGAGATCGCACCACTGCACTCCAGCCTGGGCAACTAAGCAAGACTCCGTCTCAAAAAAAAAAAAAAAGATCTAATATAACAGAAACTCAATATGTGGTATTATTAAAAATGGTAATGACATTGTAATGGCAGCTCACATTATCAGTCACTTACTGCCACTAACTGGACATCTTCTCTTAGTAGCTTTCACTCTTTGACAAAATCTAACTAATAGCATCCTATTATTACAACAAGCTAGCTAGTGTGAAGAGAAAATAAGCTAATGTATGAGAGAAAGCCTTTAGCCTGGCAAGTGCAGCTAAACAGTGCCACTATAAAAGATAATACACAGGGCACCCCACTTCACCTTTCAAGAGCTTATAAAGAGTTGAGGAAGAGAAAGTCTCAATAAAACTTAACAATACAAGGTGAGAGACCACATTGAGTTCTACTACTTATGAGCACTGCAGGAGGCAGAGAAGAGAGGCAGGAATGAGCTGAAGCAGCTGAGCTAGGGAAGTTTAGAGAAGCAAGACCCTGAGAATCCCTTTATCTTTCTGGAGTGCCCAATTCCCCTGAGTGCTCAACAACTACTGATGGCTATTTTCATCCTATAGCTTTTCCTACTTGTCCTGTGGAAGGGGAACTTCAAGGTCTTGAGGGTTGGGTATGGCCTGAAAAGTATGGCTGTGAAGTATCTAAAAACCACACAGTGAGGATGGAGGCAGAGGGACTGTTCTCAGTATGTGGCTCACAATCCTCTCAATGAAAGATACATGTGAATAAGTTCTAAATGGGGAGGAAAGACATGCAGGTTGAAGTTCTTGGGTGCTAACATGGCCTTGGACAAGCCCCTTTCCCTCTCTGGGTTGTTTCCCCACCTGTGAAAGAAGGGGACACATAATCTCAGGTCTCCTTAACTCTATGCATAGCTGTGTTTTTCCCTAGATAATCTGAGGTTCTAATCTTAGTAGTACCATTTACCACCTAAGTGATATTGAGCTAATCCCTTCACTTCTCATTTATGAAATGGCAATGTCATCACCTAATTTCAAGGTAGTAGTGAGGATTTATTTATTTATTTTTGAGATGGAGTTATGCTCTTATCGCCCAGGTTAGATTGCAGTGGTACTATCTTGGCTCACTGCAACCTCCGCCTCCTGAGTTCAAGTGATTCTCCTGCCTCAGCCTCCCATGTAGCTGGGATTACAGGTGCATGCCACCATACCCAGCTAATTTTTGTATTTTTAGTAGAGACAAGGTTTCCCCACATTGGCCAGGCTGGTCTCGAAATCCTAACTTCAAGTGATTTGCCCGCCTTAGCCTCCCAAAGTGTTGGGATTACAGGTGTGAGCCACTGCGCTTGGCCTAACCATCTTCTTCTTCACTAGACTGTTAGCTGCCTGAGGACAAAAACAGCATCCCACTTACTCTTGGTAGACTCAGCACCAAGCAAAGGACCTGGCAGAGCAAGGCCTTAGCAAATGTTTCCAAATGGAAAATGGCAGGAGTGGCAAGAACCAGTAGCCCAGGTGGAAGCACAAAGGTTCCATGGCTCATGGTCACCAGGTCCTTCTTTTCTTCTGTGTGCAGACATATTTGCACCCAAATGCAGACCTGGGCTCTGTTACACCCTTGCAATGGTATGTGTGCTGCAGGGCATGGGAGCACCAGAACACACCCTCCTTTCCATTGCCAATATCCTGCTTTTGTTTGCTGCAAGTAGCTCTGGCCAGGCCCAGGGGAGGGAGCAGGGAGCGAAACAAGTGCAGGCATGCAGAAGACAGCCAGGCCAGCCTCCTGGGAAGAACACCTGGCTGGAAAGCAATGTCACCAGTGCACACATCTGTGTCAAGGAATGTCTTTGAAGGGCACAGCCAGCTATGTGGCCAAAGTCACTGCCACAGATGTCTTTGAAGAACCGGAAGGTGAACAGCTGATAGGAGGGCTGGGTATGGGTCCCTAAGCTGTGTTTTGCCATAGAATACAACTGGGTTCTTAGACCATTTAAGAAGCTGCCATGGTAGACTTCAGAGTTCTAGCTTAGCTATCAATAACATCTACTATTTATTGAATGCCAACCATAATCCAGGTCCTACATGAGGTACCTTACTTAATATTATCTCTGATCCTGACAACCCTACAAGGTAGTAGGATTATCCCTGTTTTATAGAAGACTGAAAAGCAAGGTTAAAGTCAAATCATTCTGCAAAGCTGCCCAATACATAATTGATGAGCTGGAATGTGAAGCTATGTGTGCTTGGCTGCAAAGCCACATACTGTGTCATTGGAGTGATACAGCACATCTCAAGAGCTGAGCCTCAGGATTCTCGCCTGTGAAAATAAGGAGGCTGGAGCCCTGACAGCTCAAGACCCTTTGAGTGTTAACACTTCGTGATGCTTCTCCTTTAGCCCAAGTACTGAATGTTAAATGACACAATTCTACTCCTTCATATACTTCACAGTGTTCAATTCCCTAGCATTCTCTGTTCTTTTAAGCAGAGAATCCAGAACACACTCTGGAAATGTAAGGTGCTACTCAAAAATGCCCCACCTCAGATTCTTAGAGGCCATGGACACCATAAGTTCTTCCCAAAGCTAAGGCTTTTCTTCTACCTTTCAATTTTTGAAAGTTTCAGGTGAAAGTCAAAATCTTCCCTGGCTATAGGTAGAAGAGTACCCAGCTGGGAGGTGGTAAAGCTGATGTCTGAACCCAGGGCTGAAGTACCAGTCATCCCACTCTCCTGAGGAGCCAGAGTGAACTGAGCTGAAATCCTCAGGTCAGAGGAAATCACCTAGAAGCCTACATACGCTGAGGCTACACCTAAGAACAACCTCCAAAACTCATCTTCCAAAACATTACTGAGGGCTTGGGCAGATAGATACAAAGTGCACAGAACCCTGGTAGTCAGTTCAGTGGGTCAAACCAGATCCACACAGAGGCCTTTTGAGTCAGCAGAGAACACATGAGTTAAACAAAACAAAACAAAACAAAACAAAACAAAACAAAACAAAACAAAACACTTCTCATTCTTTAAGTAGAAAAAAAAAAGATAATCAGTTGAGATTTTCTCTTTTAAGATCTGGATCCATATTCCTTCTCTGACATTTACTATCTGTGTCACCTAAGGCCAGTTATTTCATTATTCTGAGCCTCAGTTTCCTCACCTGTATATTGCTGATATCTTATGGGGTTATGAGAATTAAATTATGTACAGATGTCTTTCATGATGCCTGGCTCACAGAGGTACGCAGTTAATGTTCATTTCTTTCCCTCCCCAATTTGAGAATGCCAAGGGCAACTGCAGACAGACCCCCTTTTCTCCTATGCCTAGCAATATGGACCTGCTTCTGGGCCCAGAACGAAATAGATTTCTGTAAGTAAAGAAGGAAGGTCCTAAAGTGAATTATTTATTCGTTGAATTAGAATCAACCGATTTTTTTTTAAAGTGACGGAGTCTTACTCTGTCACCCAGGCTCTGCCTCAGCCTCCCAAGTAGCTGGGACTACAGGTGCACACCACCATGCCTGGCTAATTTTTTATTTTTTGTAGAGACAGGGTCTCCCTACGTTGTCCAGGCTGTTCTCAAACTCCTGGACTCAAGTGATCCTCCAGACTTGGCCTCCCAAAGTGCTGGAATTACAGGAATGCCACCATGCCCCGCTGAAATCAACTGATTCTAATAGATTCCTAACAATTAGGAAATATTCACTGTGCATCTAGGATGTTTAAGAACAAGCAGGCAAGGTGCCGTGCAGGGAGAAGCCAAGTGAGATAAGATATAGACCCAGCCCTCACTCACATCCAAACTCTTCTGACAAAAATGTTTACAGGTAAATTCTCAACCTTATGGGGTAAGAGAACCAGTCATTATTGCAGTGGATTTACACATGTAAAGCATAAACCCTCCCATGTCCTGATGAAGGCCTGGTTAGATGGTCATCCCTTAACCTCCTAGTGAGCAGCCAGTTGTAGACAAGCTTCTTTCAACCCTTAGCCTCTGAACTGACTGGGCTGAAGGAGAGAATAGGAAGCTCCCTCCACCATAGCCTGAGGGCACCCGGAGAGCACCACAACTGGGGATGCCAACTTTTCCCCAGGGCCCAGAAGGGCAGATATGACAGGGGCCTACTGCTCCATAAGAGCTCAGTCAAAAATCCCTTTATTACTCCTCCTTCCTGCAGATCCTATAGACTGAAACAGTCTGACAATTAAGCTGTAATTATTATGGAATATGTTTTTATTATTTTAAAAAATTAACCAAACACACAATGAGCCTCTGAACAGCAAGAAGTAAGTATTGCTAGAGTGCACTGATTCATTTCCAACCAAAAACCAGGAAGCCTGTAGTTTCAAGTAATTTGTGTAGTTGTACTGCAGTTAAAGACAGGGCCTCTATTATTTGGAAAATAATGGAAAAGAGCTTGTGTGCCTCTGAGGAGCCACATACATTGCAGAGTTGGGAATCATTCACCTGATCCAAGCCCTTCATTTTTCAGATAAGGAGAAAAAGAGTCCCAGAGGACCTAAGGAAACTGACAAAGGTTACTGTGAAGCAGGGCAGAGTTAAGCATAATTTCTTTCCTTTAAACATGGATTGCTTTGGAATACAAAGATATATTTGTTTTCTTCAAGAGATAATGTGTAAACCCAAGCTCATTAAATCAGTGTTGGACATGAAGCGAAATTCTATAAAAAGAAAATTGCTTTAAAGATGTCAAAGAAAAGCCACTCCCTAATTTACGTCTTTTGTAAATTCCAATTTAAGGTATTTTCTTACTTGGAAGCACAGTGGTAATTGCATCTCACTCCTCACGATAGCGGGGGTAGGGAAGACAGGGCATTTCTGCTGAGTATGTATGGCCTGTCAGGCAGGGGTGTATGGGACACAGAAGTGGTATTCTTCATTCCCTTGCTCCTTCTTCCTCCCTCACATGTCACGCCTGATCACGTCCCTGTGGAATCTGGTTGCATCACTTTCTTTGCAACCACAGCCCCAGAACTCCTATAGACTTTGTACTCCCCAAGAGGCCTGAGGTCAAGGACTTAATTTGTTCCACAGAATTCAGCAAGGACCCTGTTCAGGAGCCCAAGAAGTCTAGCTTCTACTTTCTGCCAATGACAAAATTGAGGCCCAAAGAGGAGCCTTTAAAGACACCCTATAATAAAAGAGGGAGGGGCTAATGGCAGAAATAGCTTTCTGACCAGGTAGTGATATGGTAATTGATAGATACCTGGGAGAGCAGAGGGTCTGGGCGGTCCCTCCTGGGGGTGGGGTGGGGTGGGGTGGGAAGAGCCCTGTGTGCCAGCTATCTCTTTAAAAGTGACTTCAGGCATGTGACCTCTTATTTAGGGGAGGGGAGAGTACAATATCTACAGAAAGTCACTCAGTACCCCCCAGACTCCAGCTAGGTGACAGACGGAGCTTGCGGTGTGGGGGCAAGGTCATCAGGTTCTCCAGAAAGGCTGGGACAGAACAAGACAAAAGACAGGTGGACCTGGGTGGCATTGGTGGCTTGGCCCTTAAAGGTTCAGGTTGAGAGTTGACAGTTGACAGTTCGCTATCTGCTCTAGCTCCAGCTCCTGAGAAGGTGTGTCCTCCCTGGCTTCCCTGCCTCTCCAAGGGTAAAAGGGGTATAGTTCCTGACTCCTAAAAGAACAACCCTTCCCCTAAGCTGCCTTTCCAAGATTAAAAGTAAGAGAAATTAATGAGGACCTGAAATGTGGCTACTTCAGGCAGATACTTGGCATCTTGATTCCACATGGTAAAAACCTTTCTCCTAAACTCAAGATCAATTTCCATTGGCTCTTTAGAAAATAATCTCTGCAGTCCCTTCAATAAGTCAGGCAAACTATCCCTTTTTCTACTCTCTGCTAGGAGAGGAAAACAAACCTGCAGCCCTCTGAAGGATAAGAGAAAGGAAAACAGAAAAAGCTACCGAGTGAGGCTCCACATGTTAACTTTGTTGAAACTGGTTGCCTCATCTGTAAAATGGGGATACATAATCTCTTTTGGCGGCTGTTGAGAGATTAAAGGATAAAGTGTCTAGCACGGTGCTTGGTAGAGTCAGCATTGAGGACCAGTTCCCTTCCCCCTTCCCCAGTCCAGACACTTCCCACCACTCTACCAGGGTCCACTCATTCCATGAAACCACATGGTACACTGCTTTTCTGCCCAGGGCCTGGCCACCTGACTAGTATCCCAGCAGCAAGATCTGGGCACTGGACCTAGCTAAGGGAAACCAGAAGAGAAAAGTCGACCAGGACCACTGGTGAGGGGGAGGCAGGCTTTTTGAAACAACAGGCTGCTCCCAAAGAATGAAAACAAGCCCCACCCTAGCCAGGAATGGCTCCATTCAGAAGGGACCCAGAGGGCCAGAAACCCCCTGGGGAGTTTCTATGGGAGGTAGAGTGGGGCAATGAGCAAAGAAAGCCAGGTCAGAGGTAGAGTTTCCACATAGCCCTCTGAGAAACCCCACAGAGAGAGGCTCCTGGAGGTACTCCGGCCTAGGGACTGAGAAGCTGAGGGGGCTGGCCCAGCAGCTCAGGAACACCCAAAGACTACTGCTCCAGTCTCAAAAGCACTGGCCCAGGTCTTTCCCCCAGCAACTGTATTTACCTGGGAGCTCAGAAGCCCTTCAAAGCCAGAGGCAAATGTGCCTCCCATTAAGAGAACAAATGTTTTTAAGATGCCTACTGTGTACCAGGCTACCCACACCCAGGCCTTGTCAGTTTCCACAGTTTGGCAAAACCTGCCCATCCTGCTTGTTGGAACAAATTCCTGGACAGGCAGCATGGCCCGCAGGTAAGACATGTGAGAGCTAGAAACAGCACTCTATTTGTGCTATTCCCCCCGGAAGCAGTAACGCCTAGAATGGGCAGGTCAGTGGCATCTTTTGGAGGTTCTTTCAGGTTTTTCTGGGATAGAAAGGGAGCTGGAGCTCCCTAAGAAATTCCTGCTGGGCATATCCCTCCCCTCACCACTTCTATAACATAATGGGGGTACCTTACCAGGCCAATTCTGCTTGGGAATAACCTCTACTGGCTTCGCGATGGTAAAGGACTAAGTGAGAAGCAGATTTAGGGAGACCACCCTCCCCTCAGGACCAGGGGCCAGGAGAGGAGATGGAGAGGGGAACTTGGAGACCAACTCACCGAAATGGGTCTCTGGAGGTGAAGTAGGCTGGGACTGACAAATAACTCCCCATCTTCTTCCCACACCAGATAAACAGGCTCAGCTGCAAATCCGTCTGGGAGTGCCTCAGGCTGGCTGTAGATGGCTACCATGACAGGCCGAGGGCTCCCAGCACCTCTGGCTGCAGGCAGGCTACCCTGAGCTCACCTCTCCCTCCGGAGCAGCTGGAGGAGCCTGAGGACTCCAGGCCACTGGCCCCCCAGCAGATTCCCACAGGGGCTCATGGCTGGGATGGCTCCTCCCTGGTTCTCAGTAGCTCAGGCGGCCCCTCTGGACTCCGAGAAAACGACCTCTCTGCAGAGACTACACACACACTGGCATTCTCAGGCTGGGGCCGGTGACTAGCTAAGAAAGAAGCGCTACTGTCAAGTTAGCCTTCTTCTACAGTCCCACCCCTGAAAGAGGGAGGGATGGAGGAAGAGGAGGGGCTCCCGCAGAACCGAGGTGTGTGGTTGGAGCAGCTGTTAGGAAACAGACCTTGCCTGTAAGGGGTGGAGCTGGGCTGGATCGAGGCTGCAGGCTGGCGCTGCAGACAATAACTGGGACTGACTGAGCGTCCATCCTGAGCTCAGGGAAGGGTAAAGCAGGATAGAGGGGAAACATATCTGGGGAAATGTTAGAGGGGAATAGAAGGGAAATGTCCTGACGCAGAGGAGCTGCCTACAGGACAGTAATTCTGCTTGGAGGTTAAAAAAAAAAAAAACAGAGGATGCCAGCTCCAGGCATAGACACACTGAAGGGGGGACCTCTGGTAGGAGAGGCAGGTTCAGAGAGCCATCCTAGCTCCCAGCTGACATCTGCTCTGTCCTGGCACTAGGGCACCCATTCATTCCCTCTCTTTGCCTGGCCTGGGGACAGCCTCAAAAACTGACCAATGGGAGGTGCCACTTCCACTCCAGGGCAGGGCTGTGTTGCAAATAAGGAAACAAAGCCCAGAGAATTAACCTACACCTGATTTATCTCCATGTACCAAACACTATATGCACGCTTTTACTTCTCTGAGACAGGAATTATTCCCACTCTACAGACAAGGAAAGTGAGGTACAGAGAGATTAAGTAACTCACTCAAAGTCAAAAAGGGAGTCAGTGGCAGGGCTGGGATTTAAATGTAGGCCCATGTGTCTCTAGAGCTGGAGCTCTCCCACTACCAGGCTTCATTCTGCCTCTTCAAGGAGAAAAGTCATTTTCAAAGCCCTCTGCAAATAGTATGGAGCCAAGGTTACTCTTATTCACTCACTATTCACTGGGTATTCACATGCAGAACACCATCTATGTTCAATGATAACCATGCTTCTCAAACTAAAAAATGGGGCATGAGGGAGAAGGCCTGGGGTGCCTAGAGGGATTGATAAGCCTAGGTATCTGGAATGGGAGCCTGCCTGAAGAGCCCCAGTTGTGAGGATGACCAAACCAGAGCCTACCATGGAGAAAGCCCTTGTCTCCCTACCTGCAGGATTATAAGGGAAAAAGCAAGGCTGCCAGAGGAATCCAGAACACTCAGACCACCATTGGATTTAGGACAGTGACAACATCAGCTCTCCCTCACCAGGCATACCCCTGTCTCCATTGTAAAGAGCCAGAAGTAACCCTGCAGCTTCTATCTCTTACTGCAAACCATGGCAGGAAAGTGTGTGACAAAGATGGTAGATGGGGTTACAAGGGAGCCTTTTCCCATTCCACCAGTTGGACATAGGGACGACAGTGCATGCCGTAAGAGCACATTGGTTTGAATACCGTTAATAAGCTACCATTTATTGAGCACTTAATACGTTCTATGCCCTGTGTTAAGTGCTTAGCATCTATTATCCATCATATTTAAATTGCCAGTGGGGTAAATGTCATCAGCCTCATTTAACATATTAGGAAATAGGTTCTGAGGGGTTATGTCACTATCCTCAAGACAAACAGCTGGCCGGGCACTGTGTCTCATGCCTATAATCCCAGCACTTTGGGAGGCTGAGACAGGTGGATCACCTGAGGTCGGGAGTTTGAGACCAGCTGATCAACATGGAGAAACCCCGTCTCTACTAAAAAAACAAAATTAGCTGAGCGTCGTGGCTCATGCCTGTAATTCCAGCACTTCAGGAGGCTGAGGTGGGCTGATGGTCAGGAGTTCGAAACCAGCCTGGCCAACATGGTGAAAACCCATCTCTACTAAAAATACAAAAATTAGCTAGTCATGGTGGTGTGTGCCTGTAATCCCAGTTACCTGAAGGCTAAGGCAGAAGAAATGCTTGTACCTGGGAGGCAGAGGTTGCAGTGAGTGAGATCGTGTGACTGCACTCCAGCCTGGGCAACAGAGTGAGACTTCATCTCAAAAAAAAACCAAAAAACAAAATCAATCAATGAATCACAGGCCATATTAAAATAGGGATTGGGTCATAGCTTGCTGGGCTCTATTCTAGAGCCACAGAGCTCAATCACCACTCTGTTTACTGCCTCTAATGGTGAAGAGCAGCTCTTGGCGTTTGTGTGGGCTCAGCCATATCTGTCTACTACCACAAAGACACCACACTCTAGCCCCAGAGGCAGCCAGGGAAAGTAAGCCCTGAACAGCTTCTCACCTTACATTAAGCACTGCTTGCAGCACTACTTGTATGAATGAATTTTAACTCACACTATTCCACAGCACTGTGATTTCTCTTTACAGATAAAGCAACTAAAGTACAGAGAGGTTAAATCACTTGCCTGAGGTCACTCAGCTATAAATATGAGAAGTGAAGCCAGGATTTGAACCAAGACTAGACATTATAGACTATACCATGCTACACTGAAGCTCAGCCTGGGCCCACAGCCAGACTGTCTGGGTTTGAATGTGACAATGCACTGCATATAAGCCCTTGGCACAGTCTGGAACACATTAAGAGTTGATAAATGTTAGCCGTTAATATCATTAAGACTGTCGTTACAACTACTGTGGGCTAGCTATGTGGCCTTCAGCAAGTCACTGTCTCTGTCTGGGCCTTGGTTAGATCTCTAAATAGCTCCAAGCTTCAACATTTTTCAACCCTATGAGATTGCAGAGGGCTCTCTGTTTTCCTTGGGTCTCAAGTTGAGTTTAAACTCCTGAGCCAACCCTGAGGAGGTCAGGATCCTGGCCTAGGGGCCACACAAGAGCCACAGAAGAGGTGAGGTAGGCTGGAAGTGGGGAAACAACATACAGGATACTCAAAGGACTGTCCAGCTGGAGAGCTGGGAGCTCTCCTTCTCCCAGCCACAAAGCCAACTATTTCTCACCAAAAATCTATTATGTTCCCCTGTAATTCAGTCAGGCACGAAGGGGGCCCCAAATTAAGTCTGGAACTAGCAAATTATCTTTTAATTGTACCCTCTGATTTCCATGTGATGAACATAGTACTGATGGAAGAATATACAAGCCACAAAGAGACCGAGGCCAGGGAGCCCATAAGCATAACTCCTCTTGACATTTCACACAGCTCTGCTGTTCCAGCGGCGGCGGGCTCAGTGAGTCGGTGTCTAGGAATGTGAGCAGGAGGCTGCAGGCGTTCTCCTCTCCCCCTACTCCTTTTACAAAGAACTTGGTGGATGGGTGGGTGGGTGGGAAATAAGTCAGAGGACATCTCAATGCCATGAAAACTGCCTCCTTCTGGAAGAGAAACAGCCTTCTCCCCATGTCATGAGTTGAAGTGGAAGCCCCTTCCAGGTGGAATCCATTTGACCTCCATAAATCCAGACTTCAGGAGGAATCTTTGAAGGATTGATCACCAGATGTGATAAGCTGCTGGCTGCTCAGACCCAAGCGTGTGGTTCCTCAGAGCCAACTTCAAAGGGCCCAAACCACCCAGCATTGGGAGATGAAATGTCACACTGGAGGATATATTTCACCCTCCTGCCTCTGGAAACTGGTCCTGGATAGAAAACTGCTCTTCTAGGTCCTCAGGGCAGCTGGCAGAAGATTCAGCAGTTACGACTGCCAAAGGCAACTGCAGGAATCCTTCGACTGGCAGTTAGAGTAGGGATAAAATGGCAGGAGAGGTGTTAATCTCCAGCACATTTCACAAGTTGGAAACCTGGCAGGGAGCCGAAAAAACTGACTCCTTAGAACTAGCTGAGGCATAACTCTTCAAGGCATCTGTAACAGGCTGGAGAACAATAGCCTTCAAAACTGGCAGCCCCAAGTGAATGCTCAAGCAAGGTGTAGTAAGTGAATAAATTACTCCAACCTCTTGTTAGAAGAATGCTCTGGTCAAAAAATTCAAAACCCAAGGAACCGTGTTTATATGAAGCCCTTTATTGGCTGGAAGGACTCCAATCAAGGAAGAGAATTTTTAAGGACTCTGAAGCCTCCAAATCCTGAAAGGTAAGCATTACCACCCCCATCTACTAATCATCTTTCGTGCTCTACTCCTCCCCTCTTCCAAATAACTTTTTAGATTACAGCAGCAGTCATCCTTCTAAAACAAGGGTCCTGGCTGGGCTCGGTGGCTTACACCTGTAATCCCAGCACTTTGGAAGGCTCGGCGGACGGATCACTTGAGGTCAGGTGTTCGTAACCAACCTGGCCAAAAAAGGTAAAACCCTGTCTCTACTAAAATACAAAAATTAGCCAGGTGGTATGAGCCTGCAATCCCAGCTACTTGAAAGGCTGAGGCAGGAGAATCACTTGAACCAGGGAGGCAGAGGTTGCAATGAGCTGAGATCGTGCCATTGAACTCCAGCCTAGGTGACAGAAAGAGACTCTGTCTCAAAAAAATAAATAAATCAAGGATCCCAGCAATTCTACTGCTAAAAATTTTGCCTAGAGAAATACTTTTAACAAATGCACAGACATATGTTCAAACAGTACAGCAGTGCTTAATACTGAAAGAGTAAGAACAGTCCATGTGTCCATCAATAGGAGTAGGCTACTTTAAATACACCACCACATCCACACAATAGAATACTATGCAGCTGTTAAAAATAATGAGGAAAATCCTAGGTACTGAAGCAGAAACTGTCCTAGGTGAGATGTTAAGTGAAAAACCTAAGCTCCAGAGACAGTGTACAGTATATAATCTCATTGTTTCAAATGTCTGTGTAAAATCCTTAGAGACCATCTGGAAGAGTGCCACTTGGATATCAGTTTCTCCTTTGGAGCAGTGAAACAAGAAGCAGGTATGAAACAGCATTAATTTTTTACCATTTATGTATTATTTACATTTTTTCTTAAAGTAACGAAATGGACAACAACAAAAAGAAGTCCCAGGATTTAGAGCAAATGCTTGCTCAGACTTCTTCCCTAGTGCTCTTGTTCAATGGCAAAGCCCACCAGGTGCACTGCACCCAGGACCCTGGGGCTATCACTTGAGCTTTCCCAGCTGGTCACCTTCTGCCCCTACTCCATTGATGACTCACCACATAAGCTCCTTGGGAGTCCCCCAAACCTCTGCTCTCTTAACTCTTTCTGTAGCCTCCTACATCTCTTGCAGGCACTGTCTTCTACTTCTTCCAGGCCCAGCTCTGACAGAGCATTCATTCTCCTCTGGGAAGGATTCCCTCAATGTGTCCCCATGCACATCACACACACAGGAAGGACCCTGTGGCCATATCTGTCTATCACCAGATCAAACTACGTGAAGGTAGGCACTGGGTACTCTCAGTGCCCAGCATAGGCCTGGCCCATACCAGGTGTCCACAGAGGCCTAGTAAAGAAATCTATGATTCAGAACCCCCATGATGAGCAGCTACAGCACTAGAACAGTGATAATAACTAATGTTTATAAAGCATCTTCAGTTTACAAAGGCCTTTACACTTATCATCTAGTTTAGTTCCTGCAACAACCTCTTGAAAAATACAGCACAAGCAGGACAAGGGAAGCTCTGAGATGTTCAATAATTTATCTAAGTTTATGCTGCTGGGAAAGGCAGCACTGAAATTAAAGTTTTCTGAGCTCAAATCCTGCCTCTATAATTCAGAGCCTCAAACTGCTGGGTATGTTGGGTTCCTGTATCTGATTTTTTTAGATTTCCTGCCCACATTCTTACTGTCTGGATATCAGGAAAGAGTTTGTCAAATGCCTGTGGAAATCCAAGAGAAGGTCTCATGATGAGTAACCCAGTGAAAACATGAAGTCAAGTCTAAACTAGTCACTACTATTTCACTACTGATGACTCCTAATGATCAGCTCCTTATTCTAAGTGCTTACTGTCCACTTATTCCATCATCTGCCTAGAATTTTGTGAAGGAATCAAAGCAAAAGGATCATAAGGCTTACATTTTCCAGTATCTTTTTCCTCCTTTTTGAAAACTGGGCCAATTAGCTGTCTCCATCTTGATTTCATGACTACATCCCCAGTGCCTGGTATATAGTAGATATGGAACAGTATACTTTAGAAATATTGCCCCCATTCTCCATAGTTTCTCCAAAGTTACTAACAGTGGTTCCATCACTGTGCCAGCATATTTTCTTTTTTCAATATACTGGGAAATAATTCTCCCAGTCTGAAAATCTGAACATATTTCATGTGACTAGGTATTATCATATGTCTTGGGCTTCCAATTCTCTGTTCCTAGTTTCAAGTTCATGAACTATAAAACAAGGGATTAGATTAAATCTCTAAAGTTCTATCCAGATGCCAAATTATTTTCTCTTTCCATGATACCTGATTAAGACAGATGCCAAATGTTGTCTTTTACCTGGTGTTTGTGAACATGACATCGCATTACAGGAGTAGCATATACTAAGCTCTCACTCTAGAAAATACCGACTGAGGCCAGATGCAGTGGCTCACGTCCATAATCCCAGCACTTTGGGAGGCCGAGATGGGCGGATCACAAGGTCAGGAGATCAAGACCATCCTGGCTAACACGGTGAAACCCCGTCTCTACTAAAAATACAAAAATTAGCTGGGTGTGGTGGCAGGCGCCTGTAATCCCAGCTACTCGGGAGGCTGAGGCAGGAGGATTGCTTGAACCTGGGAGGCACAGGTTGTAGTGAGCTGAGATTGAGCCATTGCACTCCAGCCTGGGAGACAAAGCAAGACTCCGTCTCAAAAAAAAAAAAAAGAGAAAAGACTGAGCCAGGTACTGAAATGGGCTTGTTCAAATATGTTCTCATTTAATCCTTATAACCCTGTGAAGTTGGAGTTGTCATCTCCTTTTTACATATGAGGGAACTAAGGTTCACAGAGAAGGTTGCTGTTTGAGGTCACAGGTCTAGGAATTGACAAAGCTGGAGTTTAACCCAAGTCTTTTTTGAGATGGAGTCTTGCTCTGTTGCCCAGGCTAGAGCGCAGTGGCGTGATCTCAGCTCACTGCAACCTCTACGTCACAGGTTCAAGCAATTCTCCTGCCTCAGCCTCCCAAGTAGCTGGGATTATAGGTGCCCACACCACTATACCCAGCTAATTTTTATATTTTTAGTAGAGATGGAATTTCACTGTGTTGGCCAGGCTGGTCCTGAACTCCTGACCTCGTGATCCGCCTGCCTTGGCCTCCCAGAGTGCTGGGATTACAAGGGTGAACCACCACACCCAGCCTAGTTTGACCCAAGTCTTTGGACTCCAGGTCCAACATACTAAAACTGCCTCAAACAACTATCTTATTCTTGCCATTTGATTAACAGTAGTATTTCTGAAAGTGTGACTAAAGGAATAGCATCAGTGGACCCCCTGGTTGGCTTGTTGAAAATGAAGATTCCTGGGCCTCACCTCAGGGATACAGAATCTGAATAGCTGAGATTGGAGCTAAGAATCTGCATTTTAAACAAGCTCCAGTATTTCTGATCCACACTAACCACAAAAAGAAAACCACTGATTTTCTTTTTCCTAACTGCTTTTCCACTTAATTTCATTTTATTCTCATACTACTCTCAGAGGCAGGCAGGATAGATCACTATCATTCCCTTGTTACAAACAAGAAAATAAATGTACAGATAGCTTGTT